TGATAACTTACAAAAATTTAATATTGTTTTCATTTCTGTATATATAATTATTGATTTTGTTTTATGTATAAATATATGTGCTACTTAACTGCCAAATTTTGTGTCAATCAAAGCAGTTTTTATTGATATTTTTGCATTTTACATCTTCGTGCTTAACTTTTTGAAGTGAGTGTATATTTCTGACTTTTCTTCTTGTCAACCAGTACTTACCATTATCTTTCTTCACTTCAAATTCTGGCGTGGAAGTTGCGGTAACCCAGTGGATAAGGTCACAAACTCATGTCCGACTTGGTCATAAATTCGAGCCCTAGTGCCACTGAAGATCCACCGTACAGAGGGACTAATTAACATTAAATGGAGCTTACTTACTAAGCTCGGAGCTGGAGTGCCAGCTCAAATGTCGTCCTTGTCACTTGACCTTGGTTTAAAATCACGAAGTCTGTCACGAATAGTCTTCGAGTTTCTTTAGAGTGTAGCATTAATAAACACTCACTATAAGCTACATTGGTACAATATGGAATTCAGAAAATGGAATGCTGATTGTTTACTGAAATCGCAGTATGAAGTTACACATGGACTACGCGGGCAATGGACCTCATAATTTTAAACACCATCAACTGACGAGATTAATATTTGAACTGATACCTCACTCTCCATGCTTCGCTTCGCCAACGTAAGGACTTTGAACCTCTACTGATTTGACGTGTATCAATCAACCCATCTTCATAGAGGGTCTTTTGTGATAGAAACAATACAGGCCACAAGTTCGCAACCGTGACCCCTCAGCTACCAAGGATACTGAATTATTGGTAAATCAATAAATAAGCCCAGGTGTCGTTCTCGTCACTTAATAGTGATTTATCTGTATTTTTTACGGCACCCGTCATTACTTCATACATCTCCAGAGACATTGGTTTCAATCGAAATTCACCTTGCTAACAAAATTGGTCGAGTTATGTTTTCTTAAACGCATGGACTAAATTCATGACGGTCACGTGATTCACCATTGAATTCAAAACTGACATTATATTTGTGCTGGTTGCATAATTTTTAGGCAAAATTTCAAATTTAATAATTGGGTAAAGATATTCAAGTATTAAGAATCTTTAAAGAGATTTTCTAAACTAAAAAAAAAAAAAAATCTTATACTATATGTGTACTTTTAAATCGAGTGCATATTGCTTTCTTACGTGCGCTATTTTATTGTTGATAAATATGTACTTTCTAAAAGAAAATTTCTGTAAAAAAACAAAACTTGAATTCATTAGTTGCAAAGTTGCAGTTATCATGTGACCATCACAGTGGCGCACACAGAACTTTTTCACGGGGGGGGGGGAGGTCGAGGTTTGAAAGTCCATCATCCTCTCTTATCATACCCCAATACGCCGCCAAACATACTCCTTTGATTTTATCGATTGTCGAGAACAAAAAATAGTAAAAAATAAATTATTGAATAAATAATTACCATAATTAACAAAAAAAATTATTAATTCCAAATACTGTTAAATTCTTCATATTATATACATAGGATTATAAGCAATCTGAAAGAAATCAAGCGTTATGGGGGGGGGGGGCCGGACTCGTACCCCCCCGCCTTGTGTGCACCACTGGACTATGACGTTACATAAATTTAGCCGATAGATTTAAAGAAATATGTTTAATGAGTTTTTTTCCTAAATTGTTGATGATATTCAGAGTCGTTTTAAAGCGTGGGCCAACTGGACGTGGGCCCAGGGCCTCGGACACAATAGGGGCCTCGTCTCGTTCTCGACTCAGCCTAAAAAAAATCATGATTCGAATAATTTCAACGGACAAACTTTATTTTCTGTGGTATTCTCCGAAAAACTGGGAATTTCGGAAAATTATGTCAACTGGCTACATGTGATGACCATCGTCCATGTATAGGCCTAGGCCAATCACCATGCATCATCATTACTCATTATTCAGTCTAACGGTGGCAGTCGGTCGAGCCGGTTTGTGCGATTGTAAGTCATACACATTTTTTTGTTTCAGGTTTATACGAGTATTTGACAACGAATGCTATTCATTATCTACTTTTATGGGTCATAGGTGGGGCCTACATTTGTGTAAGGTCCCAGGGCCTACTTTTGCATAAGGGCTCAAGATGTCTTAAAACTTTCCTGATGATATATATTCCGTAGATAAAAATCACCCAACGAAACACTAAATTTGTGAGAAACTGCATGACATTTTTCTTGCTTTCTTTTCTATTTTTACTCTGCAGATTTACTTAATACTGATGAAATCAAGTGAAACACACCGAAGCAAAGTATGTCCAAATTAAATTTCTTCATTCAAGTTTCGTTCGTTTCATTTGCGAAATTTGTGACCTCAGAAACACTAAGCAAATACAAAACAATAACGTTACGACGGACAATTCTGTTGTTCATGACATTTTTTCAGTGACAACACAGTCTGTTTTACTCACACTTAAAAGTAAACTCAAATAAAAAAAAAAGTGAAAAATTCGATTTCACACTTGAAGTAACTGGAACACACCCAAATATTGTATCGTTAATAGAACAATTCTTAATTAAAGAAAGAAGTTTTAACCACTAGATTTTTGTATTTACTCGTGTGTGAATTAATTACACTGAGAAAAGTTCGGGAAAATTTTAAAGACATTCAAAACTTTAGGTATTCATTTTTTCCTGCAAATGCTTTAATTTTACTCATATCGAAGCTCATTTGAAACCTTCGAAGAGAGATTTTATTTTCTATTTGAATAATATTATTTTTCCTTTTCTTTTTCACTGGACTCTTAATTCGAAATTAGCTGCAGAAAAATATTTCTTCTAGATCTAAATGAGATTTTCAGGTTATTGGAATCAAATTAAATTTACACACAGTGTGTATATATTGCTGAAACTTATCAGTGAGAGTCGGTTAGTCGGGAAGTGTTTTAAGGCATGGGCTTAATTCATGACGGTCACATGATAAAGGCTATCACGTGTTTTCGCGACGTAATTCAAAACTGTCATTAAATTGACTTGCACTTGTTGTTCTATTTGTAAAATTTAGATATAATAAAAAATGTCATAATTGGGTAAAGATCCTCATACATAATCGGGGTAAAAATTCATCAAAAGCCGCCTTGCCAGTAGGGTGGATATGACCTTCGACTTGTAATCGAGCGGGCTCGGGTTCGAATCCTGAATAAGGCATGGATTTTTCTTCAGGAAAAGAAGTAGGACTTTCACCTGAAAGGAATTCCCGTTTTGAATGGAAAGCAGTGCACCCCTTCTGTTCCATGCTGGGATCATCGTTTGTAGTAAAAAGTCTATTTTTTTCTGTGTTTGTATTGTATGTTTCTGTTCTTCCATCTCTCGTCTTTCATATGTATCCCAGAATAAAACACACCAAAACAACAACAGTTCAACAAAAAGATTTCAAAATTTAAAAAAAAACTTATATTATATTCATGTACTTTTAAATTAAGTATATATTAAGTTTTTAATTAAGTATATTAAGTATATTGCTTACTCATGTATGTTATTTTTGTTGTCAAGTTTTTGCTTTTTCGAAGAAAGTTTCTACAACGAACAAAAATTGCCATCAACGAGGAGCGCGAATTGATTAGCTGGAAACACACGATTCCAATTTTTGTATGATTATGACGTCACATGAATTTATGAATAAATTGGCTAGAAACATGTGTTTGTCATTATCACGTGTGACTATGGCGTCACATGAATTTAGCCCATTGGGCTACATAGGATCCAGGGCCAACGTAGGTTCTGAATTTTCGAAGTGAGAGAGTCTTATTAACGTCATACTATAAAGCAACACGAAGGGTATTGGTGACGGACCACGTAATTTGAAAATCGATCAAGTGACGACGACGACACCTGAACCAGCACCTAACTTCCTAACTACAGCAACCGGAGGATGTTTGAGCCTCAACAGATTTAACGTGCATCAACCCCTCTACAATTCGACATTTACAACGTCTGTCCCGAAGTCGTGAGCAGAACCATTCGGCTAATGCAGTGATCTTCAAACTGTGTTCCACGGAACCCTGGGGTTCCACGAAGCATACTCAGAAGTTCCACGAGATAATTTTATACTCTTTAGTACAATGTCTTGCAAAACTAAATAGTTTTCTAATGGAAAATGCACCCTTTTTTATATTTGTGGAAAAACACCTACAGCATGTCAACAGATTCGACGCTAAAAATCTAAACTTAAGCAAGAACAGATCCTAAATTTTATGTTGTAAATTTATGCAAAATACACAGTATTTCTCACACATTACAAACATTCTAATGTCATTCAGGACCATATGTATTTGTGAAAAAATATTTCTAGATGTGGTGGCTACAAAAACAAAGTATAGGATCAAATGAAGCTCGGAATATGTAATGCCATTGCAGTTGTTCTAGATATACCTACACTTCGACAGTTAGTGTGAAAAAATACAAGCACATACCCCAGTTACTAACATAATGCATGGGTTGGTGACACTTGGATAACAGATTAATATTATTAATGAGTAAATTATATTAAAAGTTGATTGAATTTTTTTTAATGATAAATGTAATACTTTTTATAATTCCATTTACATTATCTATTGTTGATCTATTTTAAATATTATTCAATTCCTACTATTCTAGCTTACTCTCTCAATATGTTTGTTTCTTATATATTTATCTTGTTCAAATTTTCAATCGTTAATAAAATACTTTCTATTCATCCAATCAAGTTCAAATATTTTTTTAACTTGTAGTGGATGACTCTTGATGTTAATACAGTTTCTCAAATATTAATTAATTAATTTAATTTAATTTAATTAATTATCGGTTTTTGACGCCAACTTAGATTCGTCTTTATTGTTGTAACAATGTAACTTTTAAAACAAATACAAAAGTTGGCGTCGAAAACCTGTTTTTCAGCAAAACCGGGTATGCATTGTTACAACAATGTAGACAAATCATGCTCTTTTTTTCAATTCCTACAATTTTATAGTTCACTTTCTTCCTATATATATATATTTATTTATATATATATATATATATATATATATATATATATATATATATATCCTATTCCAATTTTCAATCGTTAATAAAATACTTTCTATTCATCCATTCAAAGTAGGAATTGACTTTTAATTTTATATATATATATATATATATATATATATTACTTATTTTTTAAGATATATTCTTCTAAGTGTGTGTGTGGAATAGGGTTCTACAAAAACACCTCTAGTTCTAGGGGTTCCGTGAGATGAAAAAGTTATAAGTCCATTGGGCTAATGCGATTACGAAAGGATAAACGAGAGAGAGAGAGAGTGTGTCCTGAAAATAAACGGTATTATCTCCTCACGAGAAAACCTCCAATCCACCCCTTATCTATTTACTTATAAAAACCAAATAATTCGAGATTAGAAGAAATCCCGCTAAAGTTGGAAAAGAAACATCATTTCTAATAATTTCGAAGGAAAAGAGCGATATGTAAAATGAAAATGATCGTAGCTCCCGGGAAGATGAGTGATAAGCAAGAATCATCCGAAAGCAATTATCATTTGTTAAATGGGATGATTTACAAGAACTTCCTAAGGGAAGGTATCTAATTGTATTTGTTCCTTGCACACTATAATGGTGCTCAAGCATTTACGATTCTCAGATTTCTGTCCCGGGTCTTATGCATTTAAAATGATGGCTTTCGAACTGCCGAACATCATTTATCCAAACTTAGATCCCCAAGATAAAAAATTTGACTTGTTAGTGGTTGATTGAAATTGATTGGGGGGGGGGGACGATGCTTTAACCATATTGTCTATGTATATTGTTGCGAATTTTGGGCAATATTAATAGTTAATTTCATCTTGAAATGATGTAAATAATTTATATATCTGGATGTTTAATACATTAATATTACTTTTTGTTGATTTTATTTTATGATAAAAATTATAATATTTGCAAGCAGCGCCGTCCCTTGCATTATAATGGCTTTTCAATAAAAAAGACGAAATATTGTCGATATTGCCAAGTTGGCATAATTTTGGCGACCAAATTTGGCGACTTGGCAACCACATAGATGCTTCTGGAAATTACGATCTGGACGATTCTGGAGAAACATCACGATCTATTTCGTTCATGGATTTTTCGAGAAAGCGCTGGAAGGTATCTACGTTAGCTATAAATAGCAATAGCTTACGGAAACTGAGTCAGTATTACTTCAGCTGTTGCGCGAGCTAGCTTGCATATGGATAAGCTTTAATGTTACGTACTTGTATTTTTGCATACTGATAGTTATGCCTGAGTGTTGGAAAATGTTGAGAACCTTCTGGAACTTATTGGGAAAATTTTATTGCTGTATCCTACATTTTAAGGATTGTTTCTCTACAATAAATTCCATCTCTCAAAGATTGTTTTGCTCTTTGGGACTAATAGTATAAAAAATCCACGAACCCGATCTACGCTGCAATAAGTATAAAAAGGAGAAAAACGGCTCACTTATCACGAAATCTCAGGAACTATTAGACCTATAGACTTGAAATTTGGCAGGCATATTGTTTTCTTGGAATAGAGATCCACTAAGAAGGGATTTAGGGAAAATTGACCCCCAAGAAGGATTGTGAGTGGTTAAGGGAGGTTATAGATAAATATATTCCTGTTTTTGAGCTAATAGACCTAGACTTGAATATCGGCAAGCATATTCCTTTGGCGGAGTAGAGCTCAGCTAAGAACGGTTTTGCGATGGGTTATGGGGCATTATAGATAAATATATTCCCGTTTTTGAACTATTAGATTTACAAATTTGAATTTGGTAAGTATGGTTTGTGTGTGTGTGTGTATGTGTGCGAGATTGAGTCGAGAGATTCACTAAAAACTGATTTGGCGAGAATTCACTTTAGAGAGAGAGAGGGGGGGGGGGGTTCGGGAGCGTAAAAAATAATTCAACTTCAATTTTAGAAATTGAATTCTTGCTCTTTTTAAATCAATAGGAAGAATGTTTTTCAATACAATTGAACCCTCTTAATGCTAGGACTTAGATATCAGTAATTTATATAAACAGTTAATGTTCATACAACATCATGGGTATGAAATACCCAGCAAAGCGGGCAGGTATCAAAGTTCCTTATTAGTACAATTCTGGAGTTTTGTAGATGCACCTTACATTAAACTTTAATGATCATTAGCACTTTTTGTAGGTTAATGTTTTTTTTTAATGTATTCAAAGGAAATAAGAAATATTATTTCAAAACTAAAAAATGTTTTTGGATTTTGTATTCGAACGATTTTATGCATTTCTTAAATGAGTATCATCGGTAAAGTACAACATTGTTTTTTGTCAAAAATTTTTGTTTTAAAATATCTAAAGTTCCCTTCTCCACACCCATAGTGTTACATTTTTTGGCTCCTTCTCTTGGAGCTCCTTCGAACTTATACTTTTAGTAAACACGATTTACGCGCAACCGGAATATTCCACAGCACATTTCTCAATACTCGGCCCTCCTTCTTGTTCAATCGATATTTATCTTTTCCTTCCTCCTCTAATGCCTTATGTCTAGATCATACAAAATTGTTACAATTATTTACAATTGTACACTTTACTACTAATGGGAGTTTGATTATAGTTTGCCAAAAATATAGCACCTGTGCCATGAAAATCGACTAACCAACAGAAAAATACAGTCTTTTGCCTATCAATGAAAAAAAGTTTAATTTAGAATAAGGCTTTATATATAAATATTCCATAATCATATTTATTTAAAAAACTTATATAGATGCCTCGAAAATTGTATAGCGCTGGTTCTCATGCACATATACTCACGACTATTTTATGACGTTGTTTGATTTGAGAATCTCTCTTTGTGAAGGATCCAGGGATTATGTAAATGAGTATTGTAATATAATCGAACTGTAGTAAATAGCATCGAGGAATATCGAAAAATGTCACAAGGTATTAGTGGATATTAGTAAAGTGATACGTTGAGATTATGATGTTATTAAGGCTACACTAGTGAGATTGTTGAAAAATGGCTTGGTAGAAAGATTTCTATATAAAAGAATGACCGTAAAATCCGGCCTATAACGCGCACCTACACTTTCAAGCTTTACTTTTAATTTTTAGGTATGTTCGCCGTATAACGCGCACCCTCTTTTTTACGAAAAAATTTTAAATGTACGTGTGCAATTTTCTTATGTTTTTAAGT